AGCCCCCAGCCTTTCCAGGTCCTCCCAGGTCACGTGCTCATCCGTCGTATCTTCTCCGATGGATCTTTCCCGTTCATGTTCCAATGCACTGTGGTAATTCCCATCCTTTAAAAAAAAAATCATCTCCATGGGCTGGAGAGGTGGCTCAGTGGTTAAGAGCACTGGCTGCTCTTCCAGAGGACCCGGGTTCAATTCCCAGCGCCCACATGGCAGCTAACAACTGTAATTCCAAGATCCAATTCTCTCACACAGACATACATGCAGGCAAAACACCAATTTAAAAAGAAAAAAAAAATCATCTCCACAGCCCACTTCCCTAGTAGCGTCTATCCTGTTTCTCCACTTTACTGAAAGAAACACCTCCCAGTACCCGCCTGTACTTACTACTAATGTAGTCTTCTCGTGGAATTCACAAGGCCACCAGTGACCCCTGTCTACATCAAAGCTTCTTCGACTGTGGGTCACAGCCCAGGTGGGGTTTTAGAGCTGAACCCTGGCAGTGGTAGGTTTCTGAACTCACAAGAGCTACAAAGCACTTCAGATTTAAGGTGTCCCCACAGTGCTTCCCCAGGTTATACCGAGTAACTTCTCTGTAGACCCACCACTCAGAGCTCTGTACCCAGTGGGCCGTCACCCCACGGCGCCAAAGAACGCTGTCTGAATGCCCACGCTTGTATTGAGGCCACTCTCCTACACACTGTGGCTTTTTTACTGTACACATGTTTTCTGCTTTTATGGAAACATAATGATTCCATTATAGAAAACAAAGGTTTTTAATAATTACCCTTTCTTATGTATCAAATGAGTATATCTAATCTGTTTTAAATAATATCTTTATCCGTTGAATCCTTCATATGTGTATACAACATATTTTGATCATAGTTAACCCCCTCCTCTCTGAAATCTTCCCAGACACACCCCCACCTCCCCAACCCCTCCCAAGTTCGTGTTCTCTTTTTGAGTGACCCACTGAGTCGACTTTGTGGCCCCATACCCATAAGTATACAAGCAGCACAAATTAGCATATACATGAATTGTTGAGCTGCGCGATAATCATACTCATGTCATTTAGTATACAAACTTGCCTTAGTCTTTAATAAATATTAATTTATATGTATACCAAAGAATGATCTTAAAGTAGAATATGATTTGTTACTAATAAATGTCTGATCTATATACTTATTTCATATACTTATTTACACAGGGTCATTAAAAACTCAGACACTGTACTGATTAGTTTTAATTGTCAATGTGACATAATTTAGAATCATCTGGGAAGAAAGTGAGGGTTTGGCTAGATCAGATTGCCTGTAGGCTTGTCTGTGGGGGACCGTCTTGATTACATTAATTGCCTGGGAAGACTCAGCCCACTGCAAGTGGCATCATTTTCTGGGTTTAGGTCCAGGACTGTGTAAGAGAGAACCCGAGCTGCGTAATAATCACACGTGTGTGTTCTCCCTCTGCTGTTGACTGAGGAGGCGGTGTATCTAGGTGTTTCAAGTTTTCCTCCACACTGACTACCCTGATTCAACATACTACAGCCTAAAACTGTGATCTGAAGTAAACCCTTTGTCCTGTCAGTTGCAATATAGATGAAACTAGGAGAGGCGTAAAGAGGTCACAGGTAGAAAAAGTCTAAGAAGCCCTGTTCTGCATGATGAATTCCAATGATCAGTTCTAATTCCTTGTGCTATTTTGACCTATGTGCCATGCTGGACAAACCTGACGTTCCCCCCTGGGAAAGAGCCTCATGTGGCCACTCTATATTACCTCCCCTGGTTTTCTTCCTCCGTACCTAGCTACACCTGTGTCCTCTCCTCAGATTCCAATCGAGAAAGCATAACTCCTTCTATGCTCATTTGTGTCCTTCGTATTTATCGTACACGTAGATCTCCAACCCAAACGCCTCCTCCAACTCTCAGCTCGCTCATGTATCAAGCTGTCTCTGTGTCTCCTATAAAGCACGCAGGCACCTGGTTTGTCTCTGCTAGGCCTTCTCTACATGAAGTCATTACCGTCTCACTAAATGGCAGCCCTGGAGCTCTTCGTCTGCTAACATCCCTCATCTCATTCATGAGAAAAATCTGGGGTTGGCACAACCTTAGGAACGTCTCCAACATGGCTCTTCTCCATACTCCGGCTGCATCTGCCTGGCCTGACCTTTCACCTTCTTCCACCTGACTTATTGCGGGTACTCCTCACCCAACTTCTCTCAGGAGTCCCCCACAGACTATTCCCATCATACCCAGTAGGAGCCTCCTCCTGACACAGTCCCGGGGGCCATTACTTCTCAGCTCAGAGCTGGTAGGGGCTGCTATCTCTATCACATTCACACCAAGGTCTTGATGGTGGCATGCCAGGACCTACGAAATCTGCCAGTCTCGTGTTCTTTACGTCTCTGAGCTCATTTCCTCTCCACCCGTCAGTCCTCTCTAGCCTCCTTCTCCTCCTTGACCATGCCAGCTCTGTGCCCACCTCAGGGACCGTCCCTGGTAAGCCCTCCATTCTACATATCCTGCTCTCTAGTGAGAGGGCACCTCCTCCTGGAGGCTTCCGCGACCACTGAATTAAAATTGCGGCCCTCTCCTCCGGATCAGGTACTTCCTACCCTCCCGCCTTCCCCCAGCTGGTTATGTACATTTGCTTCACGTGTGCGTTTTCTGTCTACTTGTCGTTACCCGCTACTGTTTGCGGGCTCTTAATTTCTTTTCCTGTTGTCAGGATGAAATTCTCTAGCCAAAGAAGCTTAAGGGAGAAGGGGCATATGTAACAAGTACGGTTTTTCTGCCCGCCGCCTGCTCTTGTTCCGCCGCCACGCCAGCCCCAAATAATGCACAGAGACTCTGTATTTGATACAATACTGTTGGCCCGGTTACTTGTTTCTTATCGGCTAGCTCTGCCTTTAATTATTAACCCATTTCTGCTGATCTATGTATTTTCACATGGCCTTCTCTTACCGGGGAGGCGGCTGGCGTCCAGCTCTCTCCTGACTCTCCATCTTGACTCCTCCTCCCTACTTCCTATTTCCTCCTTGTCTCCTAGTCCCTCCTATCTTGCTTTCCTATTGGCCAACAGTGCTTTATTTATTAACCAGTATGAGAAACATACATACATAATGGCATCTCCCATCATCTCCTCTTTCCTGTCTAAATAAAAAGAAGGGTTTTAACCTTAACATAACAAAATATATCATATAACAGTTATCAAATAAGAATCACAGTTAACAATATTTAGTCCATTAACATTTAGCAAGATTTGAAGAAAATATTCCATCATCTATTTTATCTTTGTGTGTCTAAAGTCTAAGTAACTTATCTTTAATCCTAACTAATGAAACCTATAACCATAACTATCTGTCTTCAACTCCTTCAAAGACCACAGAAGGATAGTATATAAACTCTAGAAATGACAGAGACATCTCGCCTTGTCAGTCACCTGAAGTTCTTTTGTAATATTCCATCTTCAGCCCATAGGCCATAGTGTGTCTGGCTGAGTCTTCAGCAAAGCAGGAAACTTTAAACTGTCTTCTTGTATTGGCAGTTTGTCAGTCACTTTTCTCTGTGTCCTGCATACTGTCTCGCAGACTCTTCCATGAAGCAGGATCTCTGTAGCAATGTCCATCTTGAATCACCAGTCACTTTTCTGTGGGTCCTGCATGTCCAGTTTATACAGCATGAAGTCAAACAGTCCAGACAAGAGCAGTATCTTGTCCAAATGGCTAGTCTTGCCATATTGGAAGTAAACTCCATAACGAGTTTCTTCAATGTTCATCTTCATCTTCCTTTCTGACTCAGGTGGTGTTGCCAGGAGCATTTATGTCTCATTGTCGAGAAAAACCCTAAACCATTTTAAATGCCATATTCTGTAGGTCTTTGAAAGGTTTGAAGAATGCCTATCCATCTCAAATATGTCTGTATATCTAGAAATACTAACTAACTTAACTATAAGTTCTAACTATCATAGGTAACTATCTATAATCTGTACTACATTATACATTACATTTCTAACTGAGCTCAATAAACACAATACCTAAACAAGAGGAGAAATATACATATCACCTTATTGACCTTAAATTGTATCAATAAATGAAAATCTGTTCCAAAACAAAGTATTCATATCTATATCATGATTCCCTTTTTACCTTTAAAAAGATATTGGTTGTGATGATTAACCATTTATAACCAAGTTTATTTAAATGAAAACAAACATTTATAAACAATATTTGGGAATTTGGGTGTCGTTCTGTCTCCTTGTCGTTACCCGCTACTGTTTGCGGGCTCTTAATTTCTTTTCCTGTTGTCAGGATGAAATTCTCTAGCCAAAGAAGCTTAAGGGAGAAGGGGCATATTCTGGCTTACACGTCCAGGTCGCAGTCAGTCATGGCAGGAAGCCACGGCATGGTTTTAAGGGCAATGACTCATTGCAACTGCATTAAGAAGCAGAGGTGAACACTGGACTCAGCTCTCTGTCTCAGAGTCTTCTGCAATGAAGAAGTGCCTCCCCACATCCATTAACACCCTACAGAGGCATACCAAGAGCCGTCTCCCAGGCAATTCTAGATCCTGTCACATTGACAGTTAACACTAAACATCGCATCTATGATGACAAAAATACAGGGTCTGCTCAAAAGAACTGAGTAGATGATTGTCACACAAATTTTTTTTAAAGTCTTCAAACTTTACAAGTTTGATGTATGGAGTTTTTTGTTTGTTTGTTTGGTTGGTTGGTTGGTTTTTTGTGAGCCATGTGACTGTCCAGTGAGTTCAAAGGTGTAGAAGCCCTTGTTCTAAGCAAAGGGGGGGGGGGGGACACAAACAAACCAGCAAACATCAAAACCCCCGAGAAGCATGGGTGTTGGTTCTTCAAGGCGGTGTGCCTAGTGGGTGAGGCTCCTGAGAGCTGGGTCCCCATTTCCCAACACCTCCACACTACATACTGGTACCTCCTGTTGTACCCCTGTAAGGGAAAGAATACTAATCACCGTTTGCTTTCCTTTGCAGTGTTGATGAGAAAACCCCATACCTAGCTTTGGGGGCTGTGAAGAATATCTCTCTAAACATCTCCATCTCCAACCTTGGGGACGATGCCTATGATGCCAACGTATCCTTCAATGTTTCCCGGGAACTCTTCTTCATCAACATGTGGCAGAAGGTAAGGAGCGCTCCTGAGAGGAAGCCAATCTCCGTCTCATACACCTGCTGACTCACTTTGTAGCAAGGGTTGTGCAATGATTCTACAAAGGTCTATAAAGGTTCTATAAAGGTTCCCTTATAAGGAACTTGGAATGACTAGAAATCGGCGTTTATCCTGGACAAAGGAGGTGGCTGGTACAGCTCATGTGTCAGCCACGAATATGTACATTGGAGGGAATCGACCTAATATTGTGTTCTACCCCTTCTCTCTGTGGACTGACTCTTTCTGAGTTATTTCCATCACACGTATGTTCTATAAAATTTGAGTTTTGTGTCAGTTGTTGTGAAAAATAAGTGTGGATGGATTTCTCTTGTCATAATTATGTTCACTAACAACACATTCCATGCTCCCTGTTACATGGGCATCTGTGTTTGCTGATGCTTTGCCGTGTTTATATATTTGTCCCTGCCACATTAGAGGGAATTGAGGAAATTCGAAGATTTCCAGAAATCGAGTGAGCTTTTGTAGAGCCAATTCATTTACTCAAATAAGATGTGGTTTATAGAGCATGCTTCCAAAGGGGGGAAGTGTTGCTTTCTCTCTCTCCCCAATCCCTGGGTGCACCCCCCCTATGGGGGAGGAGGAGCAGGCCTGGGCAGGATAGAACCCCTTCTACCCAGCTGTTGTGGTGACTGGTGCTCGGATGCTTCAGCTTTTCCCCATCGGCAGCGTTGGGCTCAGTGAGCTGGTGTTCACACAGAACCAGAATCACTTTGGCACCCTGAGGGATACATTCATTCATACTGCCTGTTGAGGTTGTCAAAGACAGAGTTGATGACAGTCACCCATGAGTTCTAGACAAAGGCTGTGGTCACGGGAAGAGAGTGTACTTGAGAAGGCCACAGGAATGAGTCAATAGCGGTCATAGCTGGTCATGGTGACAATGGGGTGAATCATGTTGACCCTTCACCATTGAGTCCCAGTAACCTATAAGACCTTTGGCCTGGAGAACCTTGGGTTTCACTCTAGCCAAAAGCTGACAAAGTGCCATGGCTCCCTGTGATATTGTAAGCACTAGTGTGAGGATGGGTAAGGGTATATAGACACCAGGTAGCTGTTTGGACCAACCAGAAGAGCAGATGGCCAGGGTGACAGATGCCCCTCCCATGACAATCATGCCTCAAGGTTCGACTGGGATATAAGTGGTCTGGCTGAGCTCTAACTGCACCGAGAGGTGAGTGATGGGTGCCTAGGGAGCTCACCCACTCTGCCACATGGACAATGCATGGACTCAGCTAGGCCCTGTATGAATATTATAAAAAGAGTCTAAGACACAAAGCCAAGAAAAGCCTAACTCAACATGAAGGAAGACTTAAAAGACTATTAGCAGAGAAAATAAGTCATCCAGAGCATTCGTTTTTGCTTAGGTAGCAACCTCATGAGGGAACAAGGAGCTGAGACAGGGCTGGAGAGAAGGCTCAATGGCTGAGAGCACCGGCTGCTCTTCCAGAGGGACTTGTGTTCAATTCCCAGCACCCACGTGGCAGCTCACAACTGCCTGTAACTCCAAGAGCTGACAGCTTCACACACACATATATACACACAAAACAAAAGTAAAAAATAAAAATTTAAAAAAGGAGCCGAGACAAAGAAAGGAAGAAGACCGCGTTGATGAGTAGCTCCATCCTGTCAATCACACTAGAAAAAGGAGGAGAAGCAGAGGGTTAGGATGCGAGAGGGAACAGGTATCACCTTGAAAGGCATATCCCCCATGACCCCCTCAAGCCCCACCTCCAGATTAAACAGGCACCAGCCGGGGACCAGTCTTTCGGCACACAAACCTAGGGAGGACCTTTCATCTTCTAGCCGTATGGTAGTCTGAATGAGAACTGTCTGCCACGAGGCTCAGGTGTTTGACATTCTGTCCTCAGTGGGTGGTGGCCTTTGGGGAAGTGGGGGAACCTTTGGGAGGTACAGCCTTGCTGAAGAAAATGTGTCACCAGCAGGGGTGAGAATTGAAGGTTTATATCCCCACCCTGTTTCCTGTGTACGGATGACAATGTAATCATCCAGCTTCCTGCTCCTGCTTCCTGTTGCCAAACCTTCCCCACCATGACGGACTCTCTCCCTCTGGAACCTAAGTCAAAATTAAACCTTTCTTCCTTTAGTCGCTTGCAGCCATGGCTTTTTATCACAGCAACAGAAGAGTGTCTGATACCACGGCACTCATGGCTTTCACGCTGAGAGACGCCATCTTGCCCTGTGCCTCCCACATGCCAACCTGGAGGGCAAGGAGCGGAGGGTACTGAGTCTGTTTGAAAGATGAGAGAGAGGAAAGGGAAAGTAGGCTGTTTAACCAGTTACTGTGGTGTGTGAGGGGCTAAGTCTTCCCACTCTAACAACAGTATAGACATAAATGTAGCCTCGGGACGAAAAGGCAGAAGTTCATACTCTCTAAGGCAGTGGTTCTCAACCTGTGGGTCACGACCCCTTGGGATCCAATGACCCTTTCACAGGGGTCACCTAAGACCATTGGAAAACACAGATATTTGCATTACAATTCATAACGGTAGCAATATTACAGTGATGAAGTAGCAATGAAAATAATTTTATGGTTGGGGGGGTCAGCACAACATGAGGAACTGTATTAAAGGGTTGCAGCATTAGGGAGATTGAGAGTTACAGTCTAAGGGTTAGGGTGGAGACCTCCCGGGAGGCCATTTCCCAGCATTTCAGAACTACCACGTGCGTGCCGGCACGACCTCTGTGGTTCTGGAGACAGTGCCCTTGGGTGCAGACGGCACTGAAGCACCCAGACAGATGCAGGTCCTGAGCGAGAGCTCCTTGGTGCCTGCCAGCAAGCATCTCACTCCCTAGGCTCCTGGAAGGTGTAAGGTATAGTTCTGCTTAAAAGAGCACTTTACAAGCCAGGCGTTGGTTGGTGGCACATGCCTTTAGTCCCAGCACTTGGGAGGCAGAGACAGTCTGAAGCCAGCCTGGTCTGTCTACAGAGCTAGTTCCAGGACAGGTTCCAAAACAATACAGGTAAACCATATCTCCAAAACAAAACAAACAAACAAACAAACAAAACCACTTCACAGTTCTGGGATTCGGGCAAGGCGGGTGTGAGCAGAGGTGGGGGTTGTCCAGTCATGGGAAAGAACGGGTAGATTCTATGGGAGATGGAGGGTTCCCATGTCACCCATGGGTCAGCCACTTGAGTAACCCGGTAACGGAAGTGGGAGTGTTAACTGGTGCTGCCAGATTTTTATTTTTCAATTAAAACCAGAACTTCATTTTTTGTGTTCCTTTGGCAGGTAATTAAAATGTTTTCTGAGTGTCATACAAGCCAAACAAAACATGTTGCCTGATCGTACCCAGCCTGTAGGCCATTGCTAGCCTTCTAGACTTCTAACCTATCTATTCCTCATGGGTGCTGGGTCATCCCTAACTGCTTGTCTGTCATGAGACTCTGCTTTACTGGTCAAACCTTTTCCACATCCTCGGTTTATCTTATCCTCCTCTTGGCAGAGGACTAACTAGCCAAATATAACATTAGCATTTGAAGGGTGTGGGGGGGGGGGATGGGAGGGAATGGAAAAGCCAACCCAAATGTAGCATCCTTGACATTTTTAAAGCCTTTTTTAAAGCATTTTTAAATGACTTTCAGGCTAAAATCTGTGCTTTGGAATGATAGCTGAAGCTAAGCTAGAGTTTGCATTTACAGTGTCAAGTGTGAAGTGGAGGGGTTTGGGCATTGGTAATTATCAGATGCTGACTGAAGGACCAGCTGCCACTCTGATGAGCAGTATGACCCTGGGCTCAGGGTGACAATTTCTTGCACTATAATGTTGGTGTGTGCTAAGGATTGAATGGGGCCTGTGCCAAGCATATGTATAATGTGTCCCTACCTCGGTAGACCCCTGACTCCCACCATAAACAAGAACATACTGTACAGATCCATCATTTACTTGGGGTTCTGTTGGTCCCCACCTTATGACAGCTCGGCTTGCAATTTCTCCTACTTTGTGGTGGTACAAAAGCCATACACTTTCAGCAGAAGCTGTGCCTACAGGTTTGAACATGGGTCTTTTCCCAGGCTGGCGATATTCGGTGCAATACTCTTCACTACGCTAGGCAGCCTCAGGACATCTTCTAGAAAGTGCCATCAGGCCAGAGAAGTAGGAAGATGGGGTTCAGTGATGGGAGTTCTGGGAGACTGAGGCATGAGGAAGAAAGGATGGTGGTGGGCTCCTGTGGGAGAACCAGACCTCACCATGGCACCTAATGTGCAATGTGCTGCCTAGAGCTATAGTTCCCAATTCACTGTCACCAGTCACTGAGTTTGGCTGTGGAGTTAGTTAGGCTCCATCTTCTAATCACCTTGAGAGAGTGAGCTGAGGTGATGGCCCCTGGGTCCTTTTACTCCTCCCGTAACAAAGTCCATGGAGGAAGCTCATTTTCACTGTTTCTGAGAAGTGAATGGTTTGAATTTCCAGTCAGGCTGGCTTTACAACCTTCATTAACTACCAGGTCAGCTTACGTTTTTATGACAAGTGGCATCAGGACTGGCGAGTCTGTTTTGGTTGTAAAGTGAGTCTTCCCAGTATTATCTCCCTCTCCCACGGAATGGGTGTTCTGTTTCTCTCAGGAATCTCTCTTCTCACTTTCAAGGCAAGCAACTCTGGAGGCGCCAGATGGTAAAACCTATCAGCTCTCTAATCTGAACTGAGGGAGGATTTGGAAACTTGATGTGTTTGCACAGCTCTATATTGGAGGGGGTACCCGGCCCTTCCACGGACAGAAGGCTCAGTGTGGGAACCTGGGTGTCCGTGCATGTGACCACAGAGAGGTGTGGTCACACCAGTGGAGCTGAGGAGGCAGGCACTGACAGGGCTGGAGTGTACCCATCCTCCCTTCCGTGCAAGCCAAGTACAGATGGCGTTCCTTCCCTCTTCGCTGCTACCCTGGCCGCAGAATCTGCAAATTGCCATTGTGCTCTGCTGTCCCCGGTGTCT